AGCGTCTTATGGTTGAATGCAATAACTGCCTTGTTTCGCTAGTTCATCTGTAGATGCACCGTGCCCAAAGTGTTTGTAAATGCAAAGCGACGTTTAATTCACGGACTAGTTACGCTTATACTATGTTAAAAATCTACAAAAGTTTAGTATCATTAGAAAGGTAATAGCGTAAGCTACTTTGTGAAATGGAAGAAATTCAATGAATTTTTATGAGCATAGAAAAAATTTGCAATGAACGTCAGCGCGCGCTGTAATCATAATTTTGACCCACGCTGTATTGCTCGTGTGGTCTACAAGATCCTTCGCGAGAAGTATGGAGGAGTCAGGCATCAGACAAGAAAGGCATAATGTACTACTCTAGCATGCTGTTGAATATATACATAGATTGCGACAACAGTTAATTTGGAAAATGGCGAAAGAATGAAAGCTGAGGGTATAAATGATGGAGAATAGACGGTTGCAGCGTCACATTATAGGTTTTTCGCTGTGGGGCAGGCCAAAGATGATATGTACTCGATGCATTTTGCTTGATTTGTTGCTCACTTTGCTCAGTTGTTGTGTCTGCTGCGTCGTTTCGCAAGGCTCGCAGCTAGGATGAAAGCGGTTATTGAAATTAGATTCTGAGTTCCATATACTTTTGCTGCATCTAATTCATATAGGACCTATTTATGGGTCACGAACGAGCTTTACTTTCACCTATCGAAAGATTAGACGGATACCACATTCGCGCTGTCAACGTTACTGTTGACGTGTACAAAATTCCAAAACATTGGTAAAATTTGCGTAGTAAAAAGTTGCTCGCACCGTATTCACTTCCGTATGCCCAAAACGTTGGCTCCACCGCATCGCCACTGCCCTCAGGCCCATCCAGAGGTGATTGGTGTCTGTCCACTGCAAATTGAATAGAGTTGTTGCTGTAAAATTCAGAAAATCGCTACAAGCATTGAAATGACCGAGTACCACATAATCCAGCCAGAAGTATTTGGCCTACTAACTGTGCGTTGTACATATAAATATATATTTACATATATGACTACAAGCACTGAATGGGGCCCTTGGGGTGCCTACCGCTTATATGTAAGGTGTGTGTGCTTACGTGCAATGGTGGGTGTGTCTGTTTTGAGTGGGAATTCCTAGCTTCTGTTCACATTCGCAGCGTTCGAAGTCGTAGGAGATACAGGCAACAAAACAGTATCCTCGAATTCACTGCAAGCTCGCGTTTGCCGTGGCCAGCAATGGCTGAGAGATGCCCAATAGAGATCTGATACGAAATACTCTTAGCCTCATATGGCCGAAGACATTTTCGTCTTCGTGGGCTTGCGAATCCTGCCAGCGCAAGCGCCACATTTGAATGAATTACTAGAAGTTCATCCCGATTGTTAAAGGAGCTATTTTCGACAGTGCATTCGTGTATCCTACAACCCCTTCAGCTCAGAACCGTGAAGAAACACATTTTGGTGATGGTTGTTTTCTCTATATACGGGATCGCAATCTATCTCTCAAAATGTTTTGCGGTTACAGGAGCTCAAGTAGTTGTTATGAATATGTTATAAAGTCTGACGTTTTGATCCATCTAATCCCGAACGCACTATCATTATGAAGGAAAGACGCTCGTGAACGCATTTTCGTCACTTTCTATCCGATGCTTCGCCTTTACAAAAAGGAAAACCGAGAACAGGGAGAGCTGTGTGGGTCGACTGCTACTGCAGGCCTACTACTACATATTTGTTATTGTGCATGCATGCTGCTATTTGCTTGCTTTGCTATTTGCTACTGGAATATTAGTCGTGAAAAGCATGCGAGGGTCTTCAGTGCGAGTCGGCATAGGAGAGCAACAATATAAGTTCAGAAGTGCCGCAAGGTATGGATGACTCGCGTTGCAACTCTAAATGTTGTCAGGTTGATAGGCCGTTCCTTCAAGCTAATAGATGCGTTGAAACGTAGACTATTCTAGTTCTGTGTCATGCAGGAGACGAGATGATTCCGCTGCAGGTCGAAGGACACAGGCTGCGGCTTTCAGGTCATTCTTTGCGGCAGTCCCAGGACCACTAACCCACCTATCGGAGTTGTTGTCTCCGCACGTTTGAGAGACTCGATTGTTGAATGATTCTGCAGTTGTCCGATAAAGATTGTAGTCGATCTTGAACGCCAACCGTATCACGTTTTTTCTGTCCAAACACTGGTTGCTCTGAGAGAGCAGGAGCAGGGTTGTGAACCTTGCTTGGTGAGAAAGTAGCAGAAGCCACAACAAAAAGTCATCGTTGTCGCAGTCTAAATGGGACACGTCAGCAGCATGATAGGTGGTTAAAGTTGTCGTGGTAAGTTTGATGGTTATGGGCCACATAACGTCGATGAAAAGCGAATCCTTGAATACGCCGACACGCATGAAATACGCTCACCAACGGAACACATATTTCGGAAACGTGACGTTCATCGGATTACCTCCTATTATACGGCGAAAGCAGATCATATATAGACTTTGTTATCGTGAGAAGCCGCAATAAAGGGCTCGTGACAGATGCGAAAGCTGTGACATATAAGACGGTTGCACAACATCAGCCACTGATTTACAAGCTCAAAACTGCGTCATCGAAACAGAAACATGTCGAAACTCGTGGACCTGTTAGAATAAAGGGCGGCTAAAGGGAAATGTGGTGGCTGTGACTACCCGTATCCACACAACCGCTCGAAAAAACATGGAAAGGTGCTGCCAAAGCAATAAACTAGGCTGCTCACTCTGCGCCACAAGATGACTGATAACTGGCAGAACTATGGTGAAGCAAGGATGACGGTAAAGAAAGCCATGGCTGTTACGAAAGCCGTCTCTTATGATGATGTAGTGAAAAGCTCACAGAAATTCGATGGTGACCGCTAAATTTATAAAGCTTGCCCATCTGTCTCTACCCTGCGCCCCATCAGTGTTCACCCATCTCATACAGAGAATAACAGTGGAGAAAACCGGAGTAGCTGTAAAGAAGATCATATCTGGCAAATCAACTGTGGCGACTTGGCAGCCGACGCGTGGGAGTCATGGTGCTGGAATCCTGCAGCTTGGTTGACGGAGTTCTCCTTTCGAGTCTTCGTAGGAGTGACCGTGGTTAATACTTGTTATCAGCGTACTAATACTCCAATCTGGAAGAAGAAGGACAGTCTTGCGGATTGCACGAGNTATCGCCCGATTCGCCTGCTCTCGCACAGTGTAAAGACCTCCGAACGAAATGTAGACAGGTATAAACCATAGCTAGCTCAGCTTTCTTCCACCATCAGTGTGGCTTTGTACTGGCTGCATCATCAGGCTTCTTCTGTTCGTAGTCCTAATCAACCCCTCCATTACTCAGTGACCCTTCAAACACTACATTCCATTGATAATCGAATCAGGAAATTCCAAAAATATCCAAGCTGCTGACACTGCTTACGTGCCATTTCTCAACGAACAAAAACAAAAAATTAGTGTTAACAAATTGATTATACCTTCGAGATAGGCGTTTTGCCGTCTCAAGGAACATGACGAATCAATTGAGTGATAGAACACAAGAGTAGACCTCAACTAGAGTGAGCTGCCAAGCTATTTTAGCTATGATGATTTTTAATAAAGCTCGTTTCCTTTTCGAACGTCATTTTTGGTAAGCCAGCCTTAGTCTGCCACCGTGCTCAAGTGCGCCTGTTCGTGGGTGAGTGTGTGTGGGTGGGTGTGTGCATGTATGTATGTGTGTGTTTGTACGACCGGAAGTTCATAACTCCTGTCCCCCTCACCCCTCACTTCATAACTTCATAACCTAGTGCGTTCATGATTTCTTTTTGTTTCAATATCATTTTCAACAACACTTATCATTTGCTCCTAACAATAAGAAGGAGTTACCTGTTAGCCAGTTATTACAACTTTGTCATGGGAGGGAGGTAAGTTCGGCATTAGCCAGGTGACCTGACTGATGTTAATATAAACATCTAAGCAGATGTAGATATAACAGATATAAACAGCTGACTTTCGTTGTGTCGTGGCTTCCGCCCGACTTATTAAAGGGCCGCACCTGGTTGGGCGCGCTGGGGTCCCGGCGCGCACAGCGTATACAGCGTAGCATCGACTATACTCGACGCGTGCTCTGGCCTAAAACCATCTGACAGTGTGTGTACCTGCATTCGTCGTATTCGGCCACCACTACCCGTCGTACCGCTCGAGGATGGAAGTGTGATGCAATCCGATTGGAAATGAGGTGATCGACTTGGGCATGGAAGCCCAAAGGCGCCGAGCGGTCCCGAGCCACGTCGCCCCCGTGAGATTAGCGCACTGGGTCTGAGCCACCTGAGACGTAGGTTTGCTGGTTTTCAACGTAGTTTGATTGCTGACGTATTTCATGTTTCTTTTATGTATATATGTTTATAACATGCATTCCTTTTTTACCATTTCTTTTCATTGTCATGTTAACATTCCTTTTTTTATTGGCGTATCCATGAAGGACCGCGTATAGAATTGTGTTAGTGGTTTAATATCGTAGACGGTGATGCCGTGAAAGTTATATTTGATTCGAATGTTGAGGTCAGGCTGTGCGTAGGCTGTTCCGAGTTGTAGGACGTAGGGTGAAGGTTGGAGTGTAGGAACAGCGTAGGGGCTGCAAGGGCCAAAGTAACATCCCGCGTGGCAAATGGGGCGAGAGCGAGTGCAGAGTGAGACCCCGATCAGGCAATCACACCGTCGGAGACGCCGCTCCTAAGCGGCGAACACCGGTGCCAACGTATAGCGAGGAGCAAGGCGTCGCCGCCGGCGCGACACTTTGGAAGCAGTTTTGTCACGATTGCATGGCGTGATTATATGTACTTCGTCAATCAATGAGCCGTACTTCCTACCACCCTAGCAACTCGTACAATAAAAATATCTAAAATTTGAAAATCGCGAATTCTAGGAAGTTCGATTAGACGAACGTTGATACAACGAAAAATTGTTGGAGATATCACAAACATAGGCAGTCACAATTCGATACAAATTGAAGCGGGCTGGGTGGTCATTTCCACCTGCCAGTTAAGCACTCCCATGTAGGCATTATGGAATACCCTTCTCAATAGCTCAAGTACATCCCCAAAAAAAGTAGCGCGATAGTTTTCACAACAAATGAATAGTGATAAATGTTCCTACCTTTTGGTAGTTGAACAGCTTTACTCGCGCAATTTGTAAATAAAGTCAAAGTATACACCAAACATAGCTTCATTGCGTTGTTAACTGAAAAGCTCTTCGTTCACTTGAGAAGATAGAACAATTCATGATTCGAGGCTATTTACGAAGCTTTTCGTTTGTGTATATGTGTATATTGGCGATATCAAGTGCTTCGCATTTGTTAAGAACAATGTTAGGGCTGAGAGTACTACCGAAAATCCCTCAGGTCGCATAGCAAATATGTATTTATGTCGACCACTACTCCTAAACTTTTAACTGGGCGACAGCCAAAAAAATTGAGAAAGTTCGAATCTGCAGAGAACTCCAGCGCAAGCTAGCAAGGTAAAATGACGGCAATGCTAGAGGTACCGTAAGATTTCCATTTCCAGAGATATCAAGCGCGGCTTCATACCCACCTTGGCCATGATCCTAGTTATTCACAGAAACAATGTCGCATCCGTCACCATTTCTCAAGTTTCAAGCATCAGTAATACAAAGGCCTGTTAGTAAGAAAAGTAATCGGAAGGTGATGTTGACAAACGCAAGCCAATAGTCGCCTACACTCCCTGCCACCTCACACCTATCTAATCAGTAAAGATCACAGGGTGGTAAAGTAAGGTCTTCAGTAGTCACGCACATTTTTTAGGGCGCAGGAGCCGGCAAAATGGGTGTTCGAGTAATTTCCGTAAGCTGCTACTGGAATGAACCTAACAGAACTTGATTCCATAATCAATTAGAAATTTCTGGTAGTGCTGGAAGTGACCAACAGCATATAACACGGCGATGATCAAAAAATTTCATTGTTGAGGTTCATTTACAAAGTGGTTTCATGTGGATTACAGCAATTTTAAGTAAATTAAAAGTGATTAACTCAATCAATCGGTGGCATTAAAGCTATAGTTCAAATCAGCAGTGAGCCTATTATGAGTAGTTGAATTGCCCCTTTCGTAGTTTTATCATTTCACTCTTCTGTATAGCAAAGCGACATCTTCTGTCCAACTTTTTTGCGACGAAGTCCTTGATCGATAGTGGCGCTTTCAGCAGCATTTCAGAAACCGCTTCCATCGGTTGTAAAAGAATATCCTGACATAAACATAATCATTCTCGCTCATCCATCAATAAAGAGTGAGAAAAATAGGAAAACGATGTAATTTACCAAAGTAAGCCATCCACTAAGCGGGCACACCTTGTTCAATTCAGCGGTTGCACACGGTAGCATACAGTTGAAAGAGCTGAAAGATTATATAAACATTATTAATGCACCGACAGAAATTCATATCATACTTCAAGTTCATCCCAAAACTTATCCTTGAGAACCAACAGCCTTTCAAAAAGTAGCCTGCAAACCAACCACAAAACCCTTTTTCTTGAAGCGACGTTTCTTGACAGGGGAACAGAATCAAGAACATGGGTCATGGTTAGCCGAAAAGGTAAGTTTCAGGGTCACACCTGCACTCAAAACGAACATGAGTCCGATTAGTGCCGAAACGAAAATTATGTATTGCATAAACTGCAAAAATAGAGTTGGTGCCAGAGTCAGGCTCAAGTTGACAGGCCGACTGAAAGGGAACCCTGTCACATAGATCATGTACATGGTTTCCAAAAAGTCACTGAAAAAGGTAAGGCGTCATCCAAAAGTGGCGCACAGGACCTTTGCCCGAGTCCTGTGAACAGTACGCGGAGGTGACCGAGGAGTGAACGACCTTGGTCAAAGGAGTTAGTTCAACTTGGAACTCTGAACGTGGGATCGCCCGCAGGGAAACCTATAGAGGCTGTTGATTTCAAAGCGCCCGGAATATCGATATTCCATGCCTTAAGAAGACACGCTGGGAAATACAGTAGGAAAATAGTAAAAGCCGCAGAAATCGGGGATGGTATCAACCTCTACTACAATGGATGAGACACGAGACGAAATGGTTTGGCTAGAGCAGAAGCGGAGTTTTTCAGAGACTCTACCTCTGTTGTCGACAGTATCAGCGGTCGCATCGTGGATGTGAGGATAGGCACAAAAGAGAAGTACTGCGCAATGATATAGTAAGTGTACACACTGCAGGCCTACTGCCCCGAGTTCGAAGGATCTTTCCGTGAAAAGGGATACTCAGAAGGAGGTGAGTTACATAAGTGGAGAAAAGCAGACGGAGAGTCTCTCAAAACTGTAAAAGGGCATCAGGGTACAAGCTAGGGAAACATTGGCTCTGCAGCACGGACCCCCATAGCTGACATGGCTGTCGACCTCTCCAAGAGAATAAGTGTTGAAGACCCGATAGTGGGAGCTGCACCAAGTTCAAAAAACCACCTTAAGTCAGAATACTAGAGGCTAGTTGCCACGACCCCTAAGGAACAATTCAGCAAAGATGGAACAAGGCAATCGAGGTGATACTGCGATGTGCTTAAATGCACAGATCACGCTGATCATGGGGTAAGTACTGTTAGGACGGGTAGGTTAACACGAGTAGTCGAAGCGAAGGTCGAGAACACTGCGATGGTGTCGAAGAAAACACGAGTACCGGGGGTTCCCCGAGCAGTAAAAGGCCTCGAAAAGAGGAAAAAATCGGGATAGGACGAGAATATGACAAAAATGGCGTGGTAGGAGTGTTTGGACGAGCTGGTCACAATGTGTGCCATTACAGTGGCTACAGTGAGCAGAAATGCCTTCAAAGCATCCTCTCGCTTCTCGACGATCAGCTTATTGCATGTTCAACGTAAGGGCCGTGTTGAGAATAGTGCTACCTCTGTAGCTTCGACAATTCGCACGGGACCTTTTTGTGCCCCATACAGAGCGTTTTTCGACCCGTCAGTGTCTTTGTGCTACCATTGGGGGCCACAGGTTAGTCTTAAGGGGTAGGGGGTGGGGCGAACTCAAGAACCTTTTCTACTGTGAATTAACCCTTCAAAAAACCCTAAGTGGGGTGCGGGGCGGAAAACGATGAATTCTAAAAAGCGATGGGCAGAAGAGGGACGCAATCGAGCGTTGGCAAAAGGCGCATCGCCAGATGGCCCACCTGTCTTTAAAACTTGCAAGAAGTTGTCGTAGCAAAGGCAAAGAACTCGGAAATGGCTGCCGTTTATGAGAACGTCGATGGTCGAGAAGGAGAGGGATTTGACTTCCAACTGGTCGAAGCCTGCAGTCAGGCTACTCAGGATATCGGGGCAGTACAAGCTGGACACTCGCACACTCTGGACAGCCGACGAGGCCTATCGAACAACAAGGAAGATGAATATGGCACAGCGAGTGGTCTGGTTATGCACCAAGCGAGCCGTGGAAGACGATAGAAAAGCACGGGATCGGATGGCTTACCCTTTTCTGCATACTGCGACCGCTGAAAGAAGTATACGAGAATCGTAGAGGAGCAGCACCATCATTCCCGTTTACAAACAGGAGGGGGATGGAGTATTCCAACTACCGGAGGATAAGTTGACGGCGCGCACGATGAAAATGTACGAACGATTAGTCGACGCAACATTGAGAGAATTCGTTCCGATCTCACAAAACAGTTCGGCTCTATATCAGGAAGCCTTACAAGGCATACCATCTTCGTAGCTCGACAACTGATGGAGAAGTATCGAGAAAAGGTAGACCCTATACCTAGGTTTTCTCTGGGTGAAGAAAGCGTTTGAACGCTCATTGCGAGTAGTCCTCTAGCGAATGCTTCGAGAAGGAATCACTTGATCTTTGTAATTGAAGGCATGTATGATGGGTTCAAGACAAATATTCGCACTCCTCACTGCCTGACAAGAACGATAGACGTCGCAGTTGGGGTATACCAGAGGAAGCAGCTCTGAGCCTGTTCCCCTGCTTACGGTGGATGGTATCAAAAACGGACCCATGGACCACTGAAGGCCAAATGTTCTGATGAAAAATGGGCTCCGGCTCGTGCATACGACTAAGCTCTCCGTTACGAGGAGCGTACAAAGCCAAAAGTAATACAGTAGCGCTCAAAAGTCTTCGGTGAAATGCTTTGACGCTTTTTCGTTCATAACTTTTTTCTTAGCGGACCAAATCGCGCGAAATTTGGATATGTTTAACTGAAGCATATTTCACCCTACCCAACACTATTTGATTGCAAGGCTGCAATATCCGCAGACAGAGCAAGGTGTNTGTTGCGATAGCAGATTTTGCTAAAATTAAAGCTGTTGACGTTTGCACTTATTCGCACCTCATGTGCGTTTTTCTCATCTACTGGGTTCGGCATTACCGCTCGTACACTTTAGACAGGACAAAAAGGAAAGAGATTCTAGAAAGACCATCAACTGTATTTTCACTCGAGTTTGAGTTAATGCTCTTTGGAATATCTGGAACATGATCAGATTGCAGTTTAGTAGTGGCAAATATTCACAATACACCTACGCTCAGAATATAGAAAATTTCGCATGATTAGACCAAGTAGAAAAGGAGTTACGACTGAAAAGTACGGCTGAAGAACCATTTCACTGAAGACTTTTGAGCCCTACTGTGGATTGTCAGGGAGAAGCTAGCAGAAGAGGGTAGGTCTCTATTGAGGGAGTGACATGGCTGCTGATGATGGAATGTACCAGGCTATGAAGGCCCGAATAAACGCGGCATGGGAAACGAAGAGTGTCCAGCGATATGCTGTGCAACCAGCGGTGCTCTAGAAAGCTCACTCAAAGGCAAGTTATATATGGTGGAATGGTGAGGCTTCCGATGCTCTACTGTAGCCTATAAATGGAACGAAATGGAGACGGCTCACAAAAACAGCGGACCCTGCGACGGCGCGGGATCAAAGCTATGGAGAACAAAAGGGGGTATTAGAATTGTGGAGATCCTCTGCCATTCCACAAAATTTTAGAGTTCACAAAAAGTTATCTTAACTGTCACGAGAGGGAAACTTCGTCGACCCAAAGCTACTGGATTCATTGATTGCCTACTTTGACCGCCAACTCAGCATAGCAGTAGCGCTACTTACGATACATATTTCTAGTGAGATCGTAGATTTTTTCATGAGTATAGAAGCAGTCTTCAGTTGAAGCTTCCCAGATGTTTTTCTCGTAGAATGCTGGCCTCCTTACCTTAATGGGAACTTACGCATCTATCAGCAAAAATTTTCAAATGAGCAGTGTTAATTATGCTTGCGTTGATCCTTTCCAATCGGAGCCTCCGATTCCCATGATTTTGCTTTTGTTATTAAGCACTCCGAGTTTTGAGGTTCTGTCAGAGCTGACTCCATTTGCTTGCATTCTCTGATGAATTCTGTTAAATCTTCCGAGCCAGACGTCGATGTAGTGTAAACGAAACAATTTACCAGCTTTTCACTACTTTTTAACACTATTTCCCCTCCGCATTTGCACTTGTCGCGAAACGTTTGGAATTTTGGAATCTACTAAGAAAAAGCTAAACTCTCATGAAAGAATAGCTGCTGTATATTTCGTACCAAAGTGGAACCGCAATCTGACCCATCTCACATACCACTCAGTGCATGATTGACTGATTATACCATTACTTTCAAAGCCGAACCGTTAAGCTGAGAGGAACGAACCTGCAGAGTCCTCCTAAATGGTCATTCACAGCAAGGAGATTGCCACCCATTTTGGCAGCTCTGACGATAGCCGGACTGTTGAGGAAAGCAGTCACGTTGGCCCGTCCATGACATTTGCTATCGCACACTGTTATAGGTATAAATGATTTGCAAAGTTTAAGAGAAAGCCATGGTGAACTCAGTGACAGAGAAAAAGAGGAACGAACACTGAGCGGTTGCATCTCCGTATCTCGTGAGGCACGGCTTCACCTTCTCGAACAGTGCCGCTCTTTCACCGCACATCTTCTTCACGCTACTGCTGGCAATGTCGAATAGGTTGTGCGTATCGCAGACTCTCGCTTTCTTCAGGCATTTGACAGCCTCTGCATGGCTTCTGAACAAAGAATTAGAGCATATTTTCGCAAGAATTGATCATGCTAAAGATGTTACGCTGTAAATTGAATAATTTTTTTAGGTCACTACCCTTTTTTTTGGGTAACTGGGGCACATTATTGCTTTGAATGTCATGAGCTATTCAAATCGCACAGAAGAGATCCGTTAAAAACTGTGGGCCTGCCTTTACACTACAATATTCGCTAACCTAATATCTTTTTTCAGCAGAGATAGCGGACGTTCATCATTATCTCTTCGAAGGCGGAATGGAGTCATGATAGCCATTTAGCCCAAAAACCGGAGTTGCTCACGTTCATGGTCCTGTCCCAATAGGGTTCTACTTCGCAGAGTAAACCTCCTACGTCTGCATGGTCCATAGCTGACTGTCATTCAGATTAACGTTTCGGGTAATCCTGTACAGCACTTTATTAGTCTGCGTTCACGAAGGGAGTAGCGAGTGGGTGGATCAAAGAAAAAAAAAACACAAGAGAGAGAGATTTACGTTTATGCCACTTTCCTTAGCGAATGTGTTGAGTCGATGCGAAACTCTCGAGACACAACTTATCATGTGCATGTATCATAATTCATCCACATAAACCTCTGCTGTCTCGAACCATTACTACATGCTAAGTACAACGTCAGCGTTACCAACAGTGGTATACTAATTGGTCCTGGAAAGCACTCTTGTGAATGATATGGCAACCATAGAGAGTTAAACTTCAACCAACGTTCCGCACGAATGGCAATAGCACGACTGGACGACCAACTGCAACCGATGATTACTGACTTCTCAGCCAAGCGAAGAAGAAGCTGGGGAAATCCTCGCAGCCTAGGTCATAGAAACTTGGCTGGATTACCGTTTGCTCCGGCTAACAGTTCCTCGGGCTTTTCCTTTTAACGATCACCTTTTTAAACTTTTAAGCAGTCCCTGACCAAGAAAAAGCTCGTCAGTTTTTAAATTTACAAACATATTGTGGCTGACTACTACGACTCTCAGTCCTCTTTTTTCTAGGAGGTGAGAATAGTTGAGTCGATCCTCTATAGGATGAAAGTTACAAACTGTAATAATGATTACAATAAATCAATGATTAATAGTTCAAATAAAAATGTGAAGGGATTAAAAGGCGCATACGATGTCTCAAGAGTTCCGCATCAACCCATTACCATTTTTCCGTCGGTTCAACTAATGTGTTCTGTCAAGATCAAGTGACTTTTAAAGATAAAAATGACATATACTTGCAAAATTCAAAGCATACGGAAGCATTTCTCACTTGCATAATGGTTTCACGTTTTCAACTATATCACGCAGGTTCCACAACTTTGAAACTTGATCCAAGAACGGATCGATACATCTTCGAACACACGATGGCACACCCATGGCTCGTACCATAAGGTCTGAGTTGATCCAAGAACGGATCGATACATCTTCGAACACACGATGGCACACCCATGGCTCGTACCATAAGGTCTGAGTTGAAGTCTGAAAATCGATGAAATCTCTAGAAACTGATCGATGAACAGTGAACAATCTTTAACATCTTCAAAGCCTTGCCCTCAGAAATATTTCTGGAGCATGCTTGACGTGAAGGTGCAAAGTAGCTAAACTTCGGATGCCAAGTGCTTTTAGGTAACTCCTCTCATTTCTCACTCAACTGATGACCGCTGTATGCGTAACAAACAGCTAGCTTTCTACTGTCCATCTGAGAAAGATTTCCAATGTCGGTCATGATTCACTAGTGTTGATCGCTAGGAAGATCATTCCAAATGGGATTGTAGGTATAATTCAGTGTTAGATTTTCTACGTTAGACCCTGGTTTGCAGCCGTCATACCGGTAACATGAACCCAGCCACCTTTACCTACCTAATGACCATTACATGTTTCAGATATTATCTCAAAATTTAAAGCTCATTGGGATTCTGCTTTCCCTGGAGCAGAATGAGAAAATCACATCATGACGGAACATTCCAGCTTCCCTCTTCGTAGAATCTCGGCATTTGTATACCATTTATAATTGTATTGTGTTTATACAATCAGAAATACAACCATTCTTTCTCTGTTTATTTTATACAATCATAAAAGGTGTACATCACGACAGAGTCTTCCTTTCCTCGTTTGAAGAGCTTTTCCAAAACCGGGGTGTAAGCTCCCCTAAACTCACTCGGGTTTTCATTACCTACGAAAGCAGCCACGGTGTAGCCACCACAACAGTGTAGCCGTCCAATATGTAAATTGTGTCGGCTGCTTTTATTGGAGATAACCGCCCCTTGTAAATTTCTTAGCTCCTCATGTTGCTACACGAACATCTCACTAGACTACTTCATTCTTTTGGATAGGTCGTATTTTAATACATTTCATTGAAAGAAAAAGCTCAAGAGCAACTCACTCGGTGCTATGGTCCCTCCACTTGGAGCTTTGTTAGTATTCATTCTGGAAGCTACAAGACCAACAAGCATTAGGCCGATGAGGGCAGGTTGGTAGCAGATTCTCATGTTCCTGAAGAAAAAATATCATCGAAGGTGCTATGACAGGCCATGCAGAATGTACGCATATTGTGTAGAAGAAAAACCCAAAAAAGAAAAGGAATTCAAGAGTGTAAATGGAAAAGAAAGAGAGGAAGGAATACGAAGAAAACACGATTTAGCCGATCTCAGAGTCATCGTTGCCAAACAAAGTTCTCGTCATTTTTGGCGCCAGTGTACTCTGCTGTCGATAGATCGAAAAGTCTAATTCAACATCCTATCAACAGGATCATATCATAGGTCATACTCTAGTGATTTTGATTGTTCAACGAAATTGCAACCTTCAACTCATTCCAGAACACCAGTATAGAGGTTATGATTATAAGATGTGACAGGATTTGAAAGATTAGAAATCCTTCGTTAGGGAGCGCAATCAAATCTAGATAAAGTCGAGTTGAAACTTCAATTTTCTGCGCATAACTTTGTTCATTCCGGAAGATTATCTTCTGTTGGAGGGACACTTTATTACCACAAATCATACAAGAAGGAATAGTCGCAGAATTATGTAATGCCTATCAGCAACAGTAATAATCATGAAAAATACAAGACCAAATACTAGAGTACCCTGTTAGAATAGAATTTTTTATTCTACAACGCTATAACACCTTAGAGAGGTCTCGAATGGTTTTCAAGGTTCTGTAACGGTTTTCAAGGTTCTGGGAAGGGTAGAGAAGGAGTGGGTTCTGAACAATATTCGGTTTGCCAAGCTCTTATATCGTCAAGAGGGACAGGGGAATAAACGAAGAAGCTAAGAGCAAACTCAGTCAGTTTTGCAAAGTCCTATGATATGGCATTTTCGCAGGACAATCTTCTGAAGTGTATCCCGCTACTAGAATAAATCGCAAAACCTATGCGATCAAGTTGGAAGCATTCCATAGGGTAGGCCCACTGTGGCGTAGTTAGGTATGCAATAGGGTGAATAAGAATCCTTCTCAAACATACTCAATGCGACTCCGTAAGGGTGTTATGCGTGGGTTGGAACCCCCAGAAATCATTTTTTTCAGAACAACCTGCCCTCATTTCCTTGCCCTTCATTGTTCGGACTTTCGAGTGAGATCTGCTTCATTTGGTTTTGAGCTCAGCCATTCTTCATACCCTATTCGTATTCCGCCAGAAGTTTTGCGTGCAGAGCTGTTCGTTGAGGTGCTCGTAAAATCTTCTTCTCGAGAATCCACTCTTCTCCATCCATTTGAATCTGTTCATTCTTTCAGTTGTATGCTCGCTTGATGCAGTTGAGCCATATTTATTCATTAACTTATTTATTCCTTGGTAGGCATCAGAGCAGTAATTCATTTGACATGAAAATCGAGCATCGATGAATTATCCAACACATTATCATATTCATGTACATATGTTGAAATAACATTTAGTTTTCGTTTCCTATGTAAAAGGAGTCGCCCCCATTCCAACAATAAGTGCGTCAATTGATGAAATGAACATAGCCTTGCCCAAAATTATATTTCCACACATAGGAGTTAGCTTCCTCCCTCCCCCACATCGTCCCCCTTGTACACAAATATAGGAGCGAAGAGGTGCAAGGTAAACTCGTTTAAGCCTGCTGATGTCTACTGGTGTTTTGAAAATGCCTACCATTCTCTTAAAAATCGTTGAGTAAAGTGCAGAAATCTACTGATAGGAGAACTATAGACGTCGTCGTCCATAGTCTCATTTTGTACTATTTTGGAAATGTCATGTTCTAATTCAAAATTTCTGGTATCAGTCATTGACCCAGAAATCTACGAGCTTATAAGTTCAAGATTCAGTCCAGCTGAATAGGAGCCAGGTTGAAATATATGCAGCCATAGTATCATTTCGTTGGTGAGTGTGGAAGCAGGTGGGTATTTTAAGTATTTTAAGCAAAGTGTCGAAGTCGGAAAGAAGTGTCTGAAGTATAAGACTAAAACAGAAGTGAAAAAGTGAAAATGATTGTTTTATATATTTCCTTTAAAGGCACCGTTCACAAAAAAGTTAGGGTACCCTTCTTTGACGGGAATTGATAGAACTACTCTAGAATAAAGCGATAACAACGAAAAAAGCGCAAAAAACGATGAACAAAAAGAACTANAAAGGGTCAAAAAAAGAGCTGGAAAGGGGGATTGGACGAGTTTCACAGTGAAAGAACGGCGGTTAGGGAGTGTTCGGGCGAGTGCACGAAGGCGACGCAATGTGTTGTCTGCAATGGCATTCATTCATTCGTGAATTCATTGAATAAAGACTATGAGAGCTTCGGTTATTAACCAGAACTACTGACTTTTTTTCTTAAAGAAAAGCCTACACTGAAAATGTGCAAGATCTCAATAGATTTTAGGCCACCATTGTCTCATACAAATATCTGTTAATCAGCTGTTCTTCCTCCTTAGCGGTCCTCATTCGCCGTTCTTGTCGCTGTGAGCTACCGTTAAGAGGACTCTAGGATCTAATTTTCGGAACATAATCTGTTTAACGAAAAGAAGGGGTGCAAATGCAAAGTTTTATTAGAATCGAGTTCATGTAAGGGGAAGCAGGATGCACAATCGTCTTCGATGTCAGCGATTTGATGTAAACAATGACGAATTATAGAAAGTGAATTGAACACTGAGATATGAATGAGTAGATTTACGAACATTTGTCCACAGTCCGTAAAGGCTCACCGTCAATACTAGCTCTGACCGAAAGAGACACCTGAAAGAAGAGTTGATTTACTCAATTTCGTGGAAAACACCATTTGATCTCATAGAGCTTTTTCACTTTACCTCAACGCCTCCTCCTCCAAAATGAACTTCGACACTGCCGCCGTCGGTATCACTGTTCGAGCGCCTTCCGGAAACAATCAGACTACACGGCACTGATGAATTGTACTGCAGTGGTTACTGTGGATGATTTTTTCATACAGTTGCATCAACAACCGCGTTGACTCACCGTTTCAGTGGAAGGAGAGTAAGATACCAATGAAGGCACTCCAACTTTGGTATGATCCTCATCGGGGCTCTCATTGATGTTGTCCTGAATCGGGACAGAGAATAAAACGAATAGAGGTTAGAGATGCTAGACGCTGATCTCACCCCTGACATGAGCGACGGTGAGCAGACAGTCGGTTCTGGAGTTTGCACACGTTCCCTGCAGTGGTATACATTATGTTCAAGTCTCTTTGAATTAAAATCTTAGATGTCATTTCAGCAGCCTTCAACAAAATTCGTCGCACAGTTAAGGACAGGGCGAAAAATGATGCGGGAATCGTCGGCGTCTGGATTTTTGATGACACGGACTAAATGATTGCCACTCGATCACTTCCTCTTTTCGTATGGCAACGAAGCATTGCTAGTTCAGTGTGTGATGTAGAATGTGACTTAATCGTAGATAGTGCCTTCTCTAACGGTGGTCTATCTCAAGTTCCCTCCAGCGTTCACTTCGCACACCGTATGGTGATCACCACAGCGCTGCTAGATGTGTGCTAGACCGGCCATTTGAGTCTTGAAAGGCTAGCTTTTGTTCTTAACTTATTCCAGCTTCGAACTTTAGGCTCCGCTCGTAACTATGCCAAGTATCTTGTTGGTTAGCGAAATTTCGTCGTGCAATACGCAAATCCTTTACAGATCTCTGTGTGATTCTCTACACTGTTATAACTCGAGTTCAGTGTCTCCGCTTTTGCAAAGATGGTGCTGCAGATTATTACGCGATGAGCCTGGTCAAGAGCTCTTCTTTTTCGTTTCCGACCGTTGATCCCTCATCTGCGTGAAGTTCTAGACCAGAATTCTAGACCAATTCGTTTAGTGCTAACACGTACCAATCATGTGAGATTGAACAATCTCCTTGAAAGCATCATCCTGACAGGCCTGACAGATCATCAAGAGTTAAATAGAGCTCACTTCCTCGTATTCAGGGCAGCCATATTGGTGTCCGTACACGGATGTCACTCGTTTCTTGTTTTTTCTTATTCGCTGATCCGGTCGACAGCGGAGACAAGGTCAGTCAGAGGATTCTCCCTTGCTATCTGCACGCCATCTCGTTCAGCGTCATCCCATTATAAAAGAGCTCGACGGATTCGCCAATTTTTGTGGCTTATGCTCGTTTCCAGCGTGTCTCGAAGACACTGGATTTGGATGTTACTGATAAGACCAGCACTTCTTAGTAAGCAATTGATCGCTCAGATCGTGATTCTTAAAAATTTCTTTGATCGAAGTTGTTCATTCCTCCACAGCCTCAACACGTCGATCAAAGACGTGTGTTTGAAAGCGCAGGCTTTTTGCTCCAGAATCCACCATCCATCAAAATCCAAAGGATTGAGATAGGGGAGTTTGAAGGCCAAACCTCCGTCGTCCAATAACCACAAAGCCTGATTTCACATCATTGCAGTGTCTTCTTTGCTCTGTGGCCTGGTGTCCAATCCTGCTGAAAGTTTCAGCTAACGTTCTTCACGTTCATCTCGGCCTGAGGGACCACCGCATCCTACAGCTCAGAACCCCATGAGTCGATTTTTCACTGCCCGTCACACCTCATGTGGGTCATCCTGTATATCAGTCGTTTATGTCGTGCCCCGACTAGAAGAACTGCTCTCCTCATTGGGTGTAACTATAAGACCGAGTTTTTCCTCATTTGGTGTTGGCTTTGGCTTTCCTGCTTTCCCGCTTCTTACTGTGAAGAAACACTGACGTGCCAACCTCACATCGTGAGTGGCAGAAACAAGTAAGTCTATTGTCGGCCTTTGTCTTTTTGTTGACTTTGATTTTCTTTCATCCGCTGTCTGAGATTCAGTCACACCTTACATCATACACTAGCGTCGCCACACTGCCGAACGAGAACAGGAAGTGGTTTGGCGGCCCTTGTATTCCTCCCCCTTATTGGCCCCTATCAGTTGTTATCAGCTCCGACTATCGAGTACCCTCATACCCTCACAACTTTTATCACCATCATAGTGCCAGATTTCACTGTTATCATGGAGTGTAACGAAAACTTTGGGCATCTTGGGTTTGCCAAATCCCCCTTTCACCTTGACTATGACTTCCTTGTGGAATGACGAAACCCTGATAATGAGGTTGTTAGTGCTCAAGAGGCAGCATTATAAATACAGTGAGTAGGAGCATTCATTTCTTATAGTATGCTTATTTGAAGCCTTTAAAGATTTGAACTGATATAAGTAAGCAGTTTGAAGATGCTCTTGTGTCCGCAAGTGTCACCTCAAATAGGTGAAGATTTTTTTTATTAGGATCGAAGTCACCTAAGCCCACTGAGAACATTTTTGTGCTCGTTTTAACTTCAAAACATTTTTTGTTTTTTTCGTCTCAAGTACTGAGCAAAAACGGCATAATGAATGGCCGACTCGAAAACTGTTGAACGAAAACACAGGTGAAGGAGGAATGCTGCCTGTGAGTGAATTGAGATGTAAAATGAAAAACTGAGCCTTACCTTTTCATCGATGAAAATCCCCGAGAAACCGGAACACTACCATAGTTTGCATGGCCTGGGTGGACAAAATGTAGTTACTCATCGTAAACAAAAGGACTCTTATGATTATAAACACAATAGTAGCTATTGCAAGAGTTGCTTTCCTAATGTGACTTGGGAGTTCAGGTCTGCTTTTTTTGTCATAGCGGAACAAAAGGGCAAGGATACTGATTCATGAATGAAAGATTCGGTTCTGCGCCGAAGCGACAACACTGGATGTCTAAATACCATTTATACTACTGAGACCACATTTTCACTGCTTTTCTCACTGATGTCTGCCTCTGCTTATCCAAAAACAACATCAATTCCAAAAAAGGAGAGCGCAGATGCGAGTATAAATCCACAATGCGACTTCCAGCAAAAAGAAGCAGTAAAGAAGCAGTGGAAAATAAAAAGATATGATAACCGTTGCTTTCCAGAAACGACCACTGAAATCTATTGTAGAGGAGCCATCTGTTATCACCTGTGGTTTAAAACGGTCATTTTCAAAATCGCGGATATGACATGCATTTAAAAAGCTCTCACCATGATAAGAATCTTCGCTGTTTGTGGGTCTTTCAAAAGGGCTCAATAAGGACCTTCGTGAGACGCGCTCACAACGAGCTTGGGTTCCCTGAATACAGAAGATCACCATCACGAAATCGATGCCACCACTTTCAAGGATGGCGCTACTGAAGCAAAGACAGTTTCCCTAATATAACGCCCAAATTCGGCCACAAACGCCACTAACGGACATGGACACGACATGGAAAACCAACTTTTTTGGTCGGAGTTGCAGCTCTGCGTCGAAGGGCATGCCCATGAACACGTCTCTAAATTAATACCACCAGCATGTTCAATACCGTCATACTATGGTAAAAGCATCACTTATTAACTCACTTCGCACCACAATGGAGGCCGACAAATCGCTATTTTCTTGATGTCTCTTTTGGTTGAAGATTGTTGGTAAGGCGTGACCCGCGCCTCCAGAGTCTCAATCTCCTTTTCTTTGGCATAACCTGAAATATTATACAAAGCGATTCCCTGCTTATAGTGTATAGGCTTCTCATGCCCAAAATAATTGTACTTGCTAATCGAACGCAAAAAGTTCCGTGAATCTTCAGGAAATGTTTTCTAAGCGACAATGCTCTTATTCATAAGACCCAATTCCCAAGTTCGCCATTTTCTTTATCAAAATGGTAATACAAGACTTCTTAGGGTGCAGAAAAATTCAAAAATACGGTTGAACTTCAGCAGACACTAATTACAACTGAGCTATGCCGTAGCTATCGAAAAATTGGCAACTCAAGGGGCCATGAATAAGCTTAACATGGGGTTGACAGGAAATTTACAACTCTTGTTCACCTACACACCTACAGTATGGACCTACAGCATTGAAAATCGGAATGGATAGGAGGCAGGATAGGAGTACNGGGGGAGGATGTTAGCGGAGACGCGATAGGGAGCGAAATTTTGCTCTTTTAGACCAAGAGTGTTCAAACTCGGATGGAATACAGACCGCAGGACTTCACTTCGCTCATGGTAGGTGGAGGTTGCGCGGAATGTGCGTTATACGAGCAAAACCCCGCAGCCATGTTGAAAAAAGTAAGGTAAAGACCTCATGGTCAAATCAAAGATAGGTTCAAAAATGTTCAAAAGTCCGAGAAGGGCTGGACAGAAGGCTAGCGGAGGCAGAGAAAAGATGGCTACGCATCAAAATGGACGGCGCTCAAGTCAAAAGCCCTCAATCAGGATTGGGAACGCTCCAAAGCCCGGGAAAAGGTAGGTAGAAAACGGGAAAGAGGCAATTGTAAATTTTTCGTGTCAAATAAGCTGGGCACCGAATCCTTCCTGAGTTTCTGAAGCACTTAACCCTCCTTGATCTAGACAATAATAATCCGCATCACAAAACATCTGGATGATCCTCCGTTACAAACTTGAGGCAGCAATCTGAGAATCTCGGCCAATAATCCTTATAGGCGAAGATAAGATGAAGTAGAAGTATTCGCATAAGGTTGGCTAGTCATGTTCGAAACTTCGGAGATGGACGGTACTCGAACCCGTACTTGCGCGATACTATATGCGCATCACTTCTGATAGAGCGTTTCATTCGAAGGATTGGCAAGTATCAGACAAGGTTTGGTTGACTAGTGAGATCATAGAAAAATTGATTCCCCCTCAGACGAAATTAAGAAAAGGATCAAAGTTTATTTGGGTGGTTACTGTTAGGACCAAGGACAACATATGGAGATTTTTAAGGCTCAAATAAAGGTACACGCTACGAGCGACCTTGACCACTGAATTGGGGTAATCCCCATAATCCCATCAAAAACCCTGCGGCCAGAAACGATCCATTTGCTCGGAATAGAGGAATAGAGGGAATAATAAGAGCTACATGATTAGTTACAACCTTCTTGCCAAGGTGAAGCCTGGAATGTTACAGAGTGGTGTGGAGTGTTGTGGGGATGGAAGATGTTCACTAAACAGGAACTGGTTGCATTCGTTCAAGGGTTTCCAAAGTTACGAATCATGCTGCCTGTTACGCCTTTGGCGTTTACAATGGAATCTTGGCACTGGGGTGGGTGATGTGGGATGTGTCGGAATCGTGGACGTCGTTGGGATGCTCTTCCACTTTAGTAGCGAAGAATGAGCAGTACTATACAGTGGCTGAAGTATGATGGGACTACAATGCAGATAACGGATGTCAGATAAAGATAAAGGGTGATAAGTGGCATTAGAAGGCAAGAGTTTGTCTGTAAAACCTATGGCATCTATGATGAAATCATCACGCTATAGTACGTCAAGAAGGGTTGATACGGTAAGATGAGATGGGTTTACACCGTAAGTTAACGAAACGTGACAATAGTAGTGGTGAAGAGTGAACGAAGTTATTACCATAAGAGATAAGAGACCATGTTCCGTTTGATCCTTACGGTGTAGACAATTCATGTTTGCATCTCAATGGGGGATCACCTGTTCCCATTCAACAGCTAAGATGAAACTTAGCCGATTGAAAATAATCACTAAGCTTTAACCAATACTTGATACTGCATTGATACTTTAATATGAGTTTACTTTGTTAAGGTGTCGAGAATATGAGTTTACTTTGTTAAGGTGCATGAGCTTGATACATGCTGGAATACCTGTCCAAATGGTATAACGCCACAACATACCCATTTGGATAAATCACCTGAAGTTCTTGGGCTTCTGGTGGGACGGCGCTCTTACTGAGCGGTGGAAAGCGCCAGTAAGGCTACACTTAGGGAGAAAAACGCTATGACCACTTTTCATCCAAAATCGAGCTATCCCTTCCCAGGCATGCAGTGCTGGATCAACGCATAGCCAAAGAGCGACTAAATTCAAGGGCTGATGATGCTACTGAAAAAGGAAGGAGCAGAGTAAGCCAGTTAATCGGCTGAGAAAGAGTGCTCGAGGGCTGAGGACAATCAGGGCTCAAGATGGAAAGTAATGGAAAAGAGTCTGGGACTCACGCAAGGTCAACTGCCGTGCTAATGACTGGTCGTTTGCGTATCTAACTGTAAGTAGGAAAGCATTTATAAGAACTTACCAGTCGGATCGCCCGGCTAACGCCAGGCTCTCTCCTTCTTGTGTCAGATACCCTATCCCGAGAAATGTTGAACTGAAGAATTTTATTCCCTTTTTCAAAGTTTATAGCCTTTAAGTTTTTTCCGTGTTTAGCTGAGTGACCACTCCTTTTTTGGAACAAATGGCAGTTTCCTGTACACGAAATTTGACACAGGACTAACAGGGCAGTGCAAATGGTATTCAGTTAAAGTCGGTGCTTACGCCTTCGATTGGAAGTCTCGAACTTTTGCTCTCTATCTTTGCAATAAATACCCATCGAAAATCCAACTGTTAGACAATCAAAGATGATGCTGTGGAGATGTTCTGTGTGATGGTAGCACCGTTATCATATATTTTTTAACAACCCTTTTCTCACGGAGATATCATTATTTGAAAATTCTAGATTACAGGCGGTCGAATAAGTTTTGTCGCAAATGACATCGAGCAAAGAGGATCTTTCATTGAATCACAAACCTTGCTGGGTAGCGGTCGTATTCTGATAGTAAGAGAGAACAAAGTTCTAATCTGCTAATTGCCCTAATGGGTCCCTACCGCTACACTTACCTTTCACTTCTGTCACCCTGCTCTACCATCTCGTCTTATCGAATGAAACATACTGAACGGTCAAAGCTACATCTTAGATACCGAAGATGTTAGGATTTCAATCGGTAGGGAGAACTCTTAGGTCCTTTATCTCTTATCAGTTATCATCAGTTCCTGCCACCGAGTACCTACGATCCCGTCATATCCAGCATCACCTATTAGAATGCTGAGGTTCCACTGGTAATACGAAAAGTGTGATCCTACCAAATTTGAACGCTCTAGGTCCACGTAAACTGGAGTTATAAATTGCGGCTCAAATTTTTATTGCGCACGTCCCGCCCCCTGTGCATGGAATCCGGTCCTGCCACCCACCATAAGTGTTCCCATGCTGCCTCCCGTACTCCTACCAATTTTGAACGCCTTGGGTCCACTGGAGCAGGAGTTATGAATGCAACCTAAAATTTCTATCGCGCACAACCTGCTCCCTGCAGGCGGAGTCTACTCCTACCACCTGTCATAAGTGTTCCCATGCTGCCCCCTGTATTCCTGTCAAATTTGAACACTCGAGGACCACGGGGACAGGAGTTATGAATTTCCGGTCAGACACACACCGACACACACACACAACACGCACAAAAACAAACACACACACACACACAAACACACCGACACACCAACAGACACACTTAGCGAATTATATAAAGTAGGATAGTCACGATGATAATGATAGTATTGATGGTACCATCACTCGATATTCGAGGTTCACACTGTGTCAAGATGTGGACTGATTCCTTCCGCTGAGTTCAATAGCGATTTTTTTTAAGAACATTTCTTCTGAAGAGGGCCAGCTCGACAAAAAGGCTTTGTCGAAGCAAGGAGGAGAGATTTGAGGTGATTCGGCTGATTTAGGACAAGACAGAAATCATAAAATACGGGCATGTAGAATATGCTATGCATAGCCAAACTAAAGAAAAGTAAAACTCACATGATTAGATGTTAAACGAGTAGTGTGAAAAGAGAATATGACTGGTTTTGGTGAGAGGGGATAGAATCAGACTCAGACTGCCTCAGAGAATGTTCGAAAGTGAGTAAAATACCTTGGGATTCCGATCGGTTTTGATTGAGATCATCAGCTTCTCTTCCGTTTTGATTGATATCATCAACTTTTGTTCTGTTCGCTGGGCACGAGTAGTGGGATACGACATTAAGTGAGCACAGCTCTGAAATCACATATGGGTATTCTCACAGACTTCAGTAATCGTTTTCATATCACGCCCGTTAGCATGCGTTAAACAAAGTAGAAATAAAGGATATTTCTTCAAATTTGAACGAAGAAGCTTCATTCAAGGTAGGTAACAAGTTCCACATGCAATTACCAAGCACTTATACATACTTACACCCACTGAGCAGGTGCAGTTCTTAGATTTTCTAGAGAAAATATAAGTATTTCAAATACCATGACAAATAGTGTAGCTAAATATTTTGCCGAGTAACGAACCGTAAGCGTACTTACGAACAGATGCAAATACTGAGCTGTCTGTTTCATTGTCTCTGGCCACTTTTGTGCATGGCTCTATCATCCTTCATATGACTTAAGCGAATATCTACGCATCGACCCTGTCTTTCGGGATCTGCACAGCAAACGACGCTTCAAGTCTTTTATCCTCTACATTTATTCCACATCCAAACGCTTTCGGGTGGTTTAGCGAAATCGTCCTCGCCATTTCCTTGAAAGTGCTCAGTCGCAGGGTCCGTTGTTCTCGTGAATCCGTCGTCCCGTTTTTTTATCGAACGCATCTTCTGCATCACATTCTTTTGGGAGAGCTTCCTTTGAAACCATTACCTACATTTCTTCCTCTGTTCTCCACATGGTCGCATTCCTCCATTGCCT